TAAAATTCTCAATATGCTTGCTTTTCTATCAGATCTCGAAGCTATAAATTGGGATACTGTCATAGGGTTTAGCTGTGTCGATCAAATGGTATCTGAGTTTTCCAAAAATTTTTAGAATTATTTGATAAGCATGCTCCTGAGAAATTAGTAACGTTTAAAAAAAGACAACTGCCATGGTTCACTAGTAATGTTCGGTACATGATGCAACTGCGTGACAGCGCTCATAATAAGTATCGACAAACAAAAGCTGAAAGTGATAAAACTCATTACAAATCTCTTAAAAGACTAGTTAATAGTTGTCTTAATACTGAGAAGAAAGCATATTTTGACTATCATATTAATCAGAACCTACATAAAGCAAACATTCTGTGAAAAAACTTGAAATCGGTTGCATTACCTTCATTTAAAAATTCTAACAATTTACATGACCATTTTAATGACCCTGATAAAATTAACCACCACTTTCTTAATATTCCGGACAGTAATACTGGTATTTTCTTTAAAAGTTCTAAATATAACTTAAACACATTAAAGTCAATGCCAGTCCATGAAAGCGTAGTTGCAAAAGTTATCATGTCGAACGCACAAGGGGTTGATCGAATTGGTATGGAAATGATACTTTTGACACTACCACACACATTAAAGGTTATAACAGCAATAATTAATAGGTCTATCACAGAATCAATTTTTCCTTCTCAGTGGAAAACCGCACTAATTCTTCCCGTACCAAAAAAAGAAAACGCAGCTGATTTAAGCGACCTAAGGCCTATTAGCATTTTACCATATTTATCAAAAATATTGGAAAAAGTTGTATACTTTCAAAGAGTACACTTTTGTGAACTAAATAAAATACTACTAAGTTACAATCAGGGTTTAGGAAGAGTCATGGGACAGCTACAGCCCCTATAAATGTCGTAGATGACGTGCTGTCTTTTTCGGATTCTGGCAAAGGCACGATCCTTACTCTTTTAGATTTTTCAAAAGCATTCGATTCGATAAATACGGATTTGTTAATAGATAAACTATCATAACGGTTTTATAACGGGATTGTTGTGTTTTAAGAGTTATCTCAATAATCGTCTACAACAAGTTATAATTAACAGGAATGATGGCGAAAGCTATGTTTCCAACTTCTTCCTGTCAATAAAGGTGTCCCTCAAGGATCTATTTTGGGCCCTTTGCTTTTATCATTTATAGTTCCGATATAACAGCATGTCTTGAAAATTACAAATACCATATTTATGCTGATGACCTACAGGTGTATATTAGTGTAGATACTAAAAATGTAAATACAGCGGTAGATAAGTTAAATGAGGATCTTCAACGCACTAGTTCTTGGTCACAAAATTACTCCATTCTCCTTAATCCTACAAAATCTAAGTTTATTATTATAGGTACTAAAAAGTAGGTAAAAGATATAACTTCTACTGATCCTAACGTACGTATTGATGGGGAAAACATTGAACGAGTTTTTGAAGTACGAAATCTTGTGGTTCTTATGGATAGTTATTTAAAGTTTGAAAATCATGTAATTAATGTCGTAAAAAGTTGTTTTTTTTCCCGGTTGAAAGTTTTATATTCAATCAGGCAGTTTATCACTGCAGACTTACGAGTTAAACTATGTGAAACCTTAGTTCTGTCTAAACTAAATTATTGTATAACTTTGTATGGACCTTGTCTATTTAAAATAAATTAAATTCAAAGGGTACAAAATGCTTGCGCTCGTTACTGTTTTTACATCCCAAGACGAACACATGTCACACCTTACCTTAACCTACCTCTAATATGCTTAAAATGCAGGAACGTCTCAAATTATTTTATGCCTTTTTTTTCCCTAAGCTATTTGGAGTGATAAAAACAAAGAAACCAGAACGCCTATATGAAAAGCTTCAGTGGAGAAAAAATCGACATATGTAAGGTACCCGAAAGTGTGCAAAAGTACTTTGCATACCTCAACATAGGACATCAGCATTTCGTGGTAGTTACAAATTTATGGCCACAAAATGTTGGAATGATCTTCCACCACCATTACGAGTCATAACAAATAAGAACAGTTTTAAGAGAAAATACAATGAGTATTTATTAAGTACGCATAAAATGTCATAAATATAAAAAAATAATTCGGCAGGGGCTGAATATCTCATATTTAGTTATATGCAATTATGTAACCTAAATTTACTACCAATATTCTTTTTCATAACCATTACGTTGTTCTAGCATAATTATTATAATTAGTCTGAATAAATAAAACACTACTGTAGCTCTTACTTTTAATATTATTTTTTTTCCATGTTTTTGTTTATATTTCGTTTATATTTTGTTTATATTATGTTTATGTCTTGTACATGTATATTAATTATCAATTTATTAATGGAAATATTATGAAAACTTGTGCTGGTTAATTATATAGTTCTTGTACTGGCTGAATGAATAAATATATAATTTAACACTAAAAGCTATTTGTAATATAATCAGTGATGTACGCGTACTGTTATACTCTAGCTCACTAAGTAGGTATATGGGTGCTGACATAACAGCGTTGTAGATTCTCTGCAACACATGCTGAGTCAGAACCCTTTCATCGTCCTTCTAAAAATATCATTTTTGTATTAGTTTAACTTTTAAATATTTTATTACTTTTGGTCAATGAATAAATATTTTATTATTATTATGGGGGTATCTATATAGTTTTCTCATCTGGTTGGGATCTATAAATATATAATTATAAATGAAAATGAAAAGATAAATATACATAAATATTAATAAAATAAAATAAATACAAAAATACATAAATAAATAAAAGCCCAACCAGATGGAAGCCCTCGGCAGGGGGAGACCAAACGGCCGAGGGTTAGGGGGAAAGGAAAAAAAAACCGGCGGATGATGCGGGCACGGATCATAGCCTTCTGCATTTGAGCCCGGAGCGGTCCGTCACGGAGTCCCCGTCGCCTCAGATGACCAGAGAGGCTGACTGGGATTAGCCCGTTCGCGGAGACGACTACAGGAATAATTTCGGTCGGCAGACCAGCCCACATGTCGGTTACCTCGTAAGCCAGGTCCAGATATTTTGTTTGCTTATCTGTTTCGGCTTTCACGAGGTTCTCGTCATACGGGATGGCAATATCGACCAAAAATATCCTTGACTGTGCCTGGTCCACCAGCAAAATATCAGGCTTATTCGCAAGAATAGTCCTGTCTGTGATGATGGCCCGGTCCCAGTAGAGCCTGGCGCGATCATTTTCGAGCACGGCTTCCGGCAAGTACTTGTAATACGGCAATTTCCGGTCCACGAGACCGTATTTCAGAGCGAGCTCCTGGTGAAGAATTCTGGCTACTAGGTTGTGCCTGTGCAAGTACTCAGAGTTAGAAAGCGCCGAACAACCGGAGATGACATGCCTAAGTCACTCACCGGGATGGCGACAAGCTCGACAGATGTCGACGGTGCCATCCTTTATGATGTATCTCCGATAGTTGTTGGTCTTAATAACCTGATCCTGTATTGCACAGACAAAACCCTCGATTTCCCCGAAGAGGTCACCGAAACGTAGCCAGTTGAGGGAGGCGACTGTATCTACGAAGGGCTCATGAAGAGCTCTGTAGTACCTCTCGTGGAGCTCCTTCTCCTTCCATACGGTCTCCCGGTAGGAAATGCTAAGAACTGCTGGGTCCTGCCATTGCTCGTGGGCTAAGGATAGAGGGGTAAGCCCTTTATCACTAGAAATGACGTCATTATAGAATGGATCATCCGATCTCGCCAGAAAGTAATGACGGAGGCTGCACACTTCACGATTATGCATGGTGAGCGCGTCCAGAAAACCACGCCCACCATGCTTTCGCGGCAAGTACAGCCTCATTACCGACGATCTCGGATGATGCATCCTATGGGACGTCATGGTAGTGCGGACTTTTCTATCCAGGGCGTTAAGTTCGGTCTGAGTCCACCTGAGTATGCCAAAGGTATACATGAGGACAGGCATGACCCAACCGTTATATGCGTGTGTCTTATTCACACCGGACAAAAGGCTGTTAAGCACTTTGGTCAAGCGTGCATAAAATACGTCGCAAACTGACTGTTTCATGCCAGCCTCATCGATACCGATGTTCTGTGACATACCCAGGTATCGGTATGTTTCAGCCTCGAAAAGGGTCCTGAAGTTGACGGGCATAGATAAATCTATGCCCTCAGAGATAGCAACCCTTTCCCTTTCAACATGAAGAACCGCACACATCCGTCCCCAGCTCCATTCCAATAGAATTGCTAAATTCACAAGTGATGTTTAGCAATTCCATAAGATGGGAGCGACTGGAGGCGAATAACTTGAGGTCATCCATATAGAAAAGGTGGGTCACTTTTGATCCTCCCTTCCGTAGCTGAAACCTCTCCCGGAGCCCTCCAGTAAGGTACTGAGAGGGTTCAGAGAGAGGCAGAACCAGATTGGATTCAGACAATCGCCCTGGAAGATACCCCTTCTTATCCTTATGTCGTTCTCCGCAGCCATCATCCCCTCGCCCAGATAATAGAGGATCGTACTCCACTGCCCCATACACTGCTCGAGGAAGTCTCTAATTGTACAGTCAATCTTGTACAGCTCGAGGACCCTCTTTAGCCATGTATGGGGCACCGAGTCGAATGCCTTTCTGTAGTCTATCCAGGCGGCGGAGAAGTTCCGACGGTTGCGTTTCACCACTTTGCCAATGACTGCGTCAATGAGGAGTGGTTCCTTGGTTCCACGACCACCGCCCCCGACATCCATTTTGAGCGCGTGACATCACCTGATTTAACTTCAGGTGACGAGTGATTCTCGCGCTCAAAATGGATGTCAGTGTCTTATATATGGTGGGTAGACACGTGATGGGACGGTATTTGTACGGATCTGTGGTATCCTGATGTTTAGGAACCAAATGAGAGATCCCAGTAGTAAAGAGGCTCGGGAGCGTCTTCTGGTTAAGAGCCTCTTGGAACTGTCGGGCGAGCACAGCGTGACACACTACGAACCCCTTCAGCCAGTAATGATGCAGTCCGTCGAGCCCCGGACTTTTCTAGTTCGGGGCCCTACGGACCGCCTCAGCCACGTTTCTGGCGTTATGGTGACGGGGTCCATAGGCGTAACACTCGCACTCTGGCTCGCCACAACTTCCATCCATGGGCCCTCGTTGTGGTTTACGGGTTCCGACCACAGGCCACGCCAAAATCCGACAGTGTCAGCCTGATCCGGTCCTGGGTCCGCTCCACATACCTTTATTCGCTCCATTGATTTATAGAGCCTCTTCTGATCACTCTGAAAGAGACGACTCTGGTTGAACCGTCTTGACCTCTCGCTAAATCGTCGAATCCGCTTCCCCCAAGCAGCGATTTTTTGCTTCAGGTCATCTATGCGCTCCGTTAGTTTCTGCGTGATATCCGGCTGGGACAAACTAATATTTGTCCCAGCAAATGCCATTCTAACGGTGCGCACAACTCTCGGTCTATTATTACCAGACCTGAAGCTTCTCAGTCTGCCGATAAGGGCCCTTGCCTTTGCGATACGGTCCTCAATTCTCTTTTTCCAGGCTGGGATGGCGCTACTTTGTCGAGTAGCACGTCCAGCCGTGGGAAGTTTGGCGCCAATAATACGGCATACTGCCAGTGCGGCGCCAAAAAGAATTGAGTCCGTCTCGCAAAGGTCCCGGCTGGCTTCCAAATAGGTCACCAGCATTGGGTTAAGAGCCCGCACGACAGCCGGATTTCGCTTCCTAAGGGGTATGCGGTGAAATTGCGGTCGATTTTCGAGAGGCATGCTGCGCGTTTCCAGTATCGACTCTTCCAATATGCTCCTCATTTTCTCTAGTTCGTGGGGGACTATTCCATCATCGTCTGAATCAACCACAAATGGAATATTGACGGCAGCGTCCACATTTGCAGTTTGCTGCGCAATTAGTGGCGCCGCATTCCCAGCCGTAGCATTTCCACCCGATGAGGGAACAGCCTCACGTCGTAGTCGTTCGAGTTCGGCGTCAGCAAATATGTTGGAGCGCAGGATGTACCGAACATATTATTATTATTATTATTATGAAAGCTGCGGTTGATCGTCATTTTGAAGAGAAAGATACAGAATATTTTTTGGGTGGGTTAAAGGCATTACTAGATGTGAGAAATGTATTGTAATTACACACTTGAGGGAGATTATATTGAGAAATAAAAAATAGGAATCGTATATTTACAGTCAGCTAATGCCGATAATGCTGTTGATACACACAGGAAAACACATGCAGAGCCGACTATAATCACCAAACATACGTTGTTCAGGCTTATGTGATGGATTTCTTCGCAGGTCGTAGTCATTCTATACTTATGTATACACGTAATGCACCCCGTTATTCTTGTGCCAGAAAACTGAACCCAGTAAAACTCAGCTCTACCACGCCGTAAATTGGTGACTAGTGTTTCAAAAAGTGCTGACTTGTTTTCAATGGGAAAAAATGATATAAAATGTATAATACCCAAAGGGTTATTATACTTCATGGATTTGCTATTCGTCCTACCCTTTCAGGCCCATAATCAGTTTATAGCTAACCATAAATCTAAACAGCTCTTAGAGCTAGGAGGTTGATGCTTCCAAACCTTTTACCTCCCCGCTCCCATGGGACTCATGTAGCGGGCTCGGTAGGGACTGTTTGCCCACCAGTTAGTGACCGATGGTGAGGCGCTGGACATGTGTGTCAGTATTTTCGTGACCTTGCAATAAACGGTATAAGCGAAACACTGTTGAGTTCTGGTGATATATGTACATATGATTTAATTTTACAGTTGAATGGTCTTACAGTAACGCGTCAGTCAGTGAAAGACTTTAATATTTCTCAATGTGTTCTATTTCGGTGGCTTCTTATCTTAATATATATAAATTCCGTATCACGTTGTTTGCCCGCGATGACTCCTACACTATTTAACCGATTTTGGTCAAATTTGCACACCGTGTGCAGTTTAGTTCAATTTGAGAGATAGGACAGTTTTTTTTGCCCATGAGTGAGTCAAAATTTTTTTTGCGAATTTAAGGATTTTTAATAGGATCGTTTTGAATAGGTCGTTGAAAAGGGCAGAACAACGTCTGCCTGGCAAGCTAGTACTGTATATATATACAATATCCACTGCTCCATATCATCCCGTGGTTGTCGTAACAGGCGACAAAGGGAAATAAATCAGATGAGCAGCATCGTCTTCCTAATAACGCCTAAAAATAAAAACTGCAGCTACCAATCCGATTGCTAAGCGCGGCAACTATAGCAAATTTATGGGGGAGGCCTATGTTCAGCAATGGACTTTAATAAGCCGTAACGGTAACGGTAACGGATAGTGAAACTAGTACAAGTGTTTATACAAATCACAAAAATAAAGCTGGAGTTTCACCAACAATCGCATATATGTTATACAATCTTAGTAAATTTAAGAATATCTGTAAAAAAAAATGGAATTCTAATTAGACGCTTATCGAGGAATTACTTTAGCAATTACCTTGTGAGGTCGCAACGATTTATCAATGTCAACGATATCTCACGATAAAAATAGGTTTCAGATTTCAAGATGATCAAGTGCTTTTATAAAAGCTTAATAAACGAAAGCTTAGGGCTGTCCCCTGGAACATGTATTCTTTTTAACAGAATAAGGGTGACAAAAGAGCGCACAGTCTAGTAGATTGTAAGAAAACTCTCAGAATAGCACCGTAAAATAGCAGCTTAATGTTGCTGTATTTTGTGAATATGGTGAGTGTAGAGAACCGGATACCCTTTTTAGTGGAAACGAGGTATTCGATCTTCCTTAGGGGTAATAACGCATCTACACTTTGATTTTTAACCCAGGATTTAAATAGATATTTATGAGCCACAGCATCCATTTACCATCAAGTGGACTGAGTATTCGTTTCTTAGCGTTATCCTATAAAAATACACTTTTAATAAAAATTACAAACCAAGTTAAATAATAAACTAATAACCATCAAAATCGGTTGAGATTGAAAAGAATTATTCACCCACATGTCTGCTGATGCCTTAGTAAATTGAAGTATTTGAAGTCCTTCTCTTAGATTCCATCATCAGAACTTGAACAAACTTTTATCGGACTACCTGTGAGGTACTCACGTAAACAAAAAGCAATCAATGAAATTGGACACTGTGATTAAAATCATCACTGAACATGAAAAAAAATCTGACGTGGTTCTGTAACCATCTCCTTTTTTCGAAGTCGATAAGAAAATCATAGTTAATATATATATATATACTATAAAGAATATTATCCTAGACTATCCACGAAATATTTCAAATTGCAGGCAGTGCCAAGAATTCAAAATTTTTGAGATAATTTTCGTACCTTTAACAACCTCAAAAAAAAAAAAACATTAAAATGCGATAACAAAAGTGTACGGAAATTTTTTATATAAAAAGATAATTAAAATTCGACCAAAATTTGATATTATTGAAGATAAAACTTAAATAAGTTATAATATCTAAATACCTTCGCTTGTACCTGTTTTAATTAACCTAACGAGCGCGAAAGTGTACGCATTACATTTTAACACGCAAACTTAGCTTGCGTGAGATTGTATCAAATGTTAGTTCCTCTAGAAATTATTCTTTAAACATTTGTTCGATAATTTCAGTAGCAGTTGTGTAAGCTTTTGCCTTTTAATTACAAAATATTAAAAAATCTACTCTATTCAGATATTTTTTGGGGTTGCGTGCCTTATAAATTAAAAACGGAACTCATACGAGGATCGCTTTATGTTTGAGGTATCAAATGTAAATTTTTATCAAAAACTAAGGTCATCGGACCCGTTGAAATGTCAAGCTTATAAAGTAAGGTTATAAGGAAAATATCCAAAAATTTAGCTTATTAAAAAAGCTTTTGCGATAACAAACTTACATTTACAGCTATCTACTTCTAAGTTAAGCTTTCGTCCGGCATAGATGAACTATTTTGCAATTTGAGACTCTTTTAACTGGAAACGAGGCATTCCATCTTAGTCCATAAGAGTAAGAATGCATCTGCATTTTGGTACTTATTTGTGGATAAATATAAATCTCTATGAGCCACAGTATACATTTACTATCAGGATGTCTATGTGCTCGTTTGTCACCCATATTATAAAAAATAATCATGTGGCGATTTACTACGTGCTTATTAAATCGAAAATATTTAATTTTAATAAGTGATTTTGAAGACATATTAATATAACGTCTGAAAACACTTGTTAGAGCAGTGTGGTGGGTTGATTCTTAAGCTACTCATTTCTGAGATAACTTTAGATATGAGACACTGGTGTTGAAGACTGCCACGTACGGTGGCGATTTCTTGCCTTCAGCTGAACCACACTCTTGTTTACCTCCTCTTTTACGAGTATACATCTTTATATATAAAGAGTCATTTGTTATAACGTAATTATATTTTATATGTGTTAGAGCCATGCTGCAGTTATATTAGTAGTATAGTTGTAGCATGAATGGGTCGGCTCGACCGGGGAAGGACCAAGCTCTCACAGAATACCAGCGTGAAATAGTAGCTTAATGCTGCTGTGTTTCGTACGGTGAGTGTAGTGAACCGGACACACTTTTTACTGGAAACGAGGCATTCCATTTTAGTCCTCACGGTGGACAACGCACCTGCATTTTAATTTGTAATCGAGGATAAAATGTCTATGGGCCGCAGCAACCACTTACCATCGGGTGGACTGTGTGCTCATTTGTCACCGTATCCTATAAAACAAATCTCAAACATTCTGTCCTTTTTATCTTTTAAATTAAAAATACGTGGTTATGCATTATTTTAACAGATTTTATTGCGCACGCACATTCCGAAGGCTCGATAGGTAGGATAAAACTTTGTTGCCTATAAATCACATTCAACTTGGGATAGTTTCAAATAAAAGTAGAAGTCTTATTTACAAATATTTTCAAAAACTGCAATAACGGTTTATATATTTGAATTTTTAGCTCTATTCATAGTCCATTTTTGAGTGTACAAAAGAAAATCAAAAGCTGAATGTCATCTAAATAGTTCCCTTAAAAACTTAGTTTCTTGCCTATTTTACAACCCATATAGGTGGAATTTTTTCTATAATTTTTGTAGAATAAAATAATTTTAATTTATATGTGACTACCGCCGAATAAAAAAGATCCATCAAAATCCGTCCACAATTAACGAAGAAATCACGTAGGTAACGTCATACCTACCAAAACATACAGTCGAATTGGTAAGTACTTCCTTTTTTCAAAGTTGGCTAAAAATAAAATCAAGTTATAATGTTCCTATCTCTAATTGGTATCTTGCAGCACTATTCTCTTCTGAACACTGTTGGAAGCTGTAAATTGAACAGGATATAAAAGTAGGTGCTTACTGTGTCCCGACGTCGTCTTAACGTACCTAGCCTTGCTCGATAATGTAGGTGTCTTCAAGGCAAGAGTGAATAGGGTTTTGTTAAGTTAGTGCGCTTCACCATCCTCAGCTGGATCACCATTACCTTCACGTGGGATAATATTCAAGCTCTGGCTTAAAATTGAAAAAAAAATTATGTATTACAACGAAGACTGGGACACGAATTAAGTTAAGGGGATAATCGCATCCATGACAGCATTTTTTTTAAAATAAAGTGACAAGCGAACAAATAGTTCACCAAATGATAAGTGGATAATAAGATAAACAATTTGTTTTGCAATAATTTGTCGTCTTAAAAAAACTAAAAATAATACTAATAAGAATTTAAATATGGTACATTAAATTATGGGTATGTCCCACCCTGCCACATTCTCG